TTAATTACCTATATGATAAACAATTATTATTTATAGAATCTCAAAGTGTTTATCATACATTAAATTATAAAACTGAATAGATTTTGATATGAGGCTAAATAAACAATGTAATATGTAGACTGCTTAGCTATGTAAACAATATAGTTTAATCAACATCTTTAAACTATACTTTATTTAAGTTGTCTACAACAATATATCATTTATATATGTATAAATATACCGCAAATATGACTTATTGTGTGGTGTGGTTTACTTACATCTACATAAAAAGTATATGGTGATGGTCAGACATAGAATATATGTTAGCAGAAGATCGATAAGAAAAGAACAGGAATGAAGCACAATCAGTGGGAAAATGCATGAATAATGAAATCAGAGACTGTGGACTAATATTTTTAGAAGGAACGGTTAAGATTGAGACAATTGATTGTTATTTTGCAAATTAACTGTTTACTGTTTGGTTATCAGATTTCAATGAGATAGTTTGTAATTTTGCGTTTAAATACATTCGATTGTCCCAGCCCGTGTTTTTGTTCACTACAATTGTTATGTTCCTGCCTTATGAAAACATCTTTCATTATTCTAACTACATTTCAGTTGATGTTATACACAAATTCCTTTATCATCTTCATGTATTTATTATTTTTAGTTGCTTTACGATTTTTATGCTTACGGTTTTAAAACTTTGAAAGCCTAAACTACTGAATCCATTACAGTTCTTATTTATTATGATTAAATTAACCGACAAATCAACACTCTTCTATTTCGTTTACTCTTATTAGTACAGATTTACTTATATCTCGTACGAATTATCATTTTGTTATAACGTGTGAGTGCGTAAGTGTCCTGTTAATGTATGAACATTATAAGACCGCCAATCAGAGAGCTGCGAATTATCGATTGGGACAGTGACACACGAAAAACCGTAAGAGCAGTCTAGAGTTCGTATCGGTCCTGCTATCTGCCTAGCCCAGTCAGTTGAGTTCAAAACACCATTAACAGCCTCTGTGGTGTGAATCATTGTATTTCAAACATACTGGGTTTATATACCAAACAGACTGACCACATCTTACCAATAAAATAGAAAATAACATTTGTACAAGAGTTAGCCAAATGTGGCTGTGAGTAGGGGGAACAGTAATCAATAGACTGGGGATAACTCAAAAATGGTAAATTGTATAATAATAGTTCATAGGTCAAAATAAAGCTTATAACAAAAGGAACATGAATATGAGTAATTTAGTTACTTAATAACTATGCAATAGGAAATATACATATCATATTGGTCCATAGAAAGCTCTCAGAATTACCATTCATAATTCTCCACGGGATATAACTCATTTAATTTGTTGTTCAGAATATTATACTTTCAGTTTAATTATGAAATATATTTTATCTTTAAAGGTTTGTTTCCAAATGCATATACTAGTAAGAGTACATCTTATTTATAAGTTGCTCTGTATGTGGAAGATACATGATGAAATGGATTTATTTTATTCAGTTGTTTTTTTTTACTTGGAAAAACATCGTTAACCTTACCTTATCCCATCGAGTTTTACTAACTAAGTACATAATTATTCGCTTACATATAATTCAATTGTTATCATAGTTATGTTAGATTTGTGGTCTTATAGAACCTTTGTTGAAGCAGAGATTTAAATTATTTTTGCATATGAACAATCTTAGATATTTTAGTGAAGCGGATATTTTTAAAGAACCTGAAAGATTGACTTTCAAAATTTGAAAGATAATAGTGACATAGTCGGTATTTTTGAAGTTATAGCCCATTGAGGACGTTCATATTATAATTGACTTTATTCAATATTATATTTTTGGTACAATATGAAATTCTCAGCACAAAGTATTTCAATAGGTTTCTTTTCCTTACTTCTTGATTGATTCTCACGACGTATACTGAGTGATTGACAGTTATGTTTTAGCAATTCAGTAATCGACATCTGATTCATGTTCATTTTTTAAAATGGATATTGTCAGCCACCACGATGTCTCTGATTGTACTTTTCTGTCACCTGTACAGGGAAAAATCCACGACTTTTCATAAACATGCCTGGATAGGTTATGCACTTAATAAACATAATGATGTGTTGATGCAATAAAAAACAGGCAACTTCTTAGTATATCTAGATGACAAGAACAGGTGGCCTGTATATTCATATATCACTATAAAAATAAGTCCTCCTAAATGTACACGGGAAATTGGTGAGAGTGCTTTTTTTAATTCATATTAAATCTTTTGTGCAAACGATATGATTTTACAATCTGTCTGCTTTAAAGTTCGTTCCTATAGATCAGTTTATTCTATCAGACTACTCTGAATGTCCTGAGATATTTTAAAAAAGACTTCCTGTGTGTTTATACTCTTATATTTTAGTATCAACTTTCAATCCAGTGTGAAATTAATAGGAAATTTAAGAGTAGTTTACATGATTGATTGACTTTAGCTAGACATTTAGTGAGAACCAAGTAACATTAAACAGCTATTTTTCCATGGTGTGTAGCCTACATCAGTTCACATCAGATAACTTGGCAGAGGTTAAAGCTAAGAAATTCAAAGTTCAAAGTTTGTGCCTTCGCTGTAAACTACTGAGTACCTCACTTTTCATATTTCACTTAATCCACAATATTAAGTATTGACTATTAACTGAGATCTCTCACTGTTGATAAGATTTAACTTCATTAATCTGGATTTCCCAAATTAGGAGTTTATTGATTTTGAGTTGATAAAAGTCATGTGCTCACTAGTGGTCAACTTTATTAGTAACTGTGACTAAGTTTATAAATGTAAAACACTGAGTGTCAACACAGTAGTCTGAATCTAGCTTGTTTGTCAGGAGGTGCCAAGGTTCGAGGTTCATTATCCACCATGGTTCCTGGTGTGTATCGTTAGACAGTTTCACATCAGCACTAAACAGGTTTTTATTATGATCTTATTTTCAATGTTTATCTTGATTAGGTCGGTCTCAGATATGCTCCATTTTCAAAGTGAATAATTTCCACTACCCTCGTATCCTAAGAGTTATAAATAAACTTTCTTTAATGGCTTTCCGTGTAGTGTTTCTTGAGAGACAATAAAATCCAGAATATTATCTATGAAAGTTTTCTAACTTTTGTTATGAAACCTTTATATAGTAACTCTGCTCTGCTCAATTATAACAAGTAACATTAACATGTTTAATTAATTTATGAAATAATTAAGTTTTCTTAAAGAAAATGAACCAACTGTAAAATATCTTACAAAGGCAACAGTTAACCAACTATCCAGGTTACACGATTATATTTCTTGAAAATAAACTACTTATGTACATGAAGTAAAGTTTACCAGATCTTGGTTGTAAGTAAAGATAAATCATGATTTTGATCAAGATTTAACTTTTAATCAAATAAAGAAAGGAGTTCAATTCAATGTTAGGGATAGTATTATTTGATCAATAGCATTCAATCAGCACTAAGAATGACTTGACAAGCATGACATTGATCACCCATCAGTGATCAATCAATTTTGATTACATCTCAGTTCTACAGCAGGTCGGTTGCGACCCAAATAGCTCAGTAGCAACATCTCTGACTGTGAAGCTGAGTGACACGGGATCAAATCCGTCAGGGGGCACCAGTTCCCTCAAGATTACAGGTACACCTTGCTGACGAGCGCCAAGTAGCACGAAACCAGGATCCAAGGTTTCCTGTTGACCATCTCCAACCACCATCTTATCTCAACACAGTGCACTCAGTGTCGAGCCACCTAGACCAGTGGTCACATTGCAACTTGATCGATAGCATTCGATCAGCACTGAGAAGGACTTGACACGCATGACATTGATCACCACCCAGTAATCAATCAATTGTGATGGTATTATCTGTATTTGAATTACAAATAACTTTGGATGTTTCTCTATTTTGAACTAATACAATATCATTGACAGTTGATTAAAATTATTCGTTCGAACTGTAGCTAACTGATAATTGACTTTTTCCGTAATTTATTTGGAAAACTACATGTAGTGTATTAAGTTAAAACTAATGATTTTTTTGAGTATTGCTTACTTCCTGTTAACGTTTGCATACAACATGGTTGTTTTATCCATCAATCATTTTTACTGATAGAGCTTAAATTATCTAGTTGAAACAGGTTTATATTAATTTCTTTTTGTATTAGGTAGTCAGAGTGTTTGCATAAAAACATATACATAACATTTATCACATCAGAGTTGAAGATGACATGAACATCAACAGTTTGACGTACAGATACTAATTGGCATAAACAACTTCAGGCAGTTTGAACACTGAATATTTGAAAGTCAAACGTATTCTATCACAGTCACTACAATGATGTAACCTGTATTTTATGTACTGTAATAATGTGGCTTAGAATTGTTTTTCTCAAATCTATTTGTGATTATCATACAAAAAGCATCGTTATAATTTAAGCTTATAAATCAAATAATTTCCATGATAAACGCTATTTATCAACACTTAAATTGAATGAAACAAACAGAAAAAGGATTATTCTATGATATCGGTCAATGAAAGGAACGACTGTTTTCATAAGTCGGTATGTACTGTCAGATCATAACTTCAAGGATAAGTTACTAGAAACAGTATTATTTGCTAGGATTTAGTTGAAACAGAAGCCTATATTAGTGAGAAAAACCTATCCTTTTATTATTTCAATGTTTGCTGTATTTTTTATTAATTCGTATTCATGTTTCTTTTTACGTCAGTTGTAAGAAGTAAAGATAATCAGCACTCAATCAAATCAACTTCAGTGAGTAGGTTAAAAAATAAAATGATCTAATAAGTTTCATTCATAAACTATCAAATTACTGAAACAAAATTTATAAAACTCTTCAATGTTAACTTTCAATTTATTTATAACATATTTGAACCTCGCTCTATTCATTCAGCTTAATTCATGTATTAATAATACTAGCAATAATAAAACTACTGGAGCTCAGATTGTAGTGAACAAGAACACGAGTAGAGACAATCGAATATATTTAAACACAAATTACAAACTATCTCACTAAATTCTGATAACCATACAGTAAATAGTTAATTTGCAAAATAACAATCAAATGTCTCGATCTTAACTGTTCCTTCTGAAAATATAAGTCCGTAGTCTCTGATTTCATTGTTCATGCATTTATGTACCAATGGCGCTTCATTCCTGTTCTTTAGTTATCGATTTTCTGCCAAAATACATACCATCACTATATATACTACTTATGTGGATATAAGTAACTCACACCATAACATCATAGTTCATAAACATGTATTTAATTGAACCTTTAAAAAAAATTATCTTTATTGTAATGTAACAAAGAAATAACAACAAATAGTGTTATAAAATTTCACTGAGAATTGATACTCATTATTCCATATCTTATATTACCATAGATATATATAAGAGAGAAATTAAAAAAAAAAAGAAATTTGAATAATAAATTTTTAAAAAAAAAGATAGAATCCATACCAAAGTTTATCGTTTAAATCTATGAACTATATATAAACAAATCAGTAAACAACTTCTTATTGATTGTTTATTTATAACATATTTAAAGTATTTTAATCAACAAATGTTTTTTTTTTCTAAACCTTTAATTATACCCAACACATTTATTTAAAACAAACAAACAAATAAACAAACAACACTTTACACAAATATCTGTTTTTATTTATTTATTGCGTTATTATTGATTTTTTTGTTTCTATGGAACATTTTTAAATATAAACAAATGTTGATTTATATTGAATTCAATGTTCAATAATTCTAATTCAACAATTTAATTTCCATTGTATCCTCTAATTTTATTTTAATAAAAACAAACAAACAAACATTTAATTGTGAATGTTCATTTTCATGGACCGAAAAAAAAACACAACAAAAAACAAAAAAACAAAAAAAGAAAAACAAAAAAGCAAAAAAATTTATTTATATAAATTCGATTAATTTTTTTTTTGTAAAAATTTTTTTCCTTCCCATTTTTTTTCTCTTATGGAATAACTACTGTACAATTATCAGTGATATTATAATTTATAATTTGTATAAATGTATCATTATTATAAACACAATAAATACCAAAATAATCAGGTAAATAAATAAATAATCTACATAGAATACTTGTAATAAGAATTAATAATAAAATAATAATAAAAATAATTCTATTTCTTATAATCATTTTATTTAATGAATGATTTTGTTTATTGAATTGATTGATTATTGATTTTTGATTTGTTTTCATTGGTAAATGATTGAATTGATGATTTTTCTGTGATAGATTAGTATCATTATTATCTGTTTGTAATAGAAGGTAAAATAAAACAAACAAACAAGCAAACCAACATGAAATGTTGATTTATTGTAATTCAGTAATAGATTGTAGAATATGTGAAATTTTTTTAATATTACGTAACTGAGTTATTATGTTGTAATCAAAGAGACAATAAAATATGAATGAAAACAATTTATACAGTTGAAATCCTGATTTAATTGAAGCTAGACAACCATGGAAAACCTTGAAGCACTGTTTGACGGCCAACTCATCCTATTGTGGGATAATATCGGAGCTGTACCATCCCCGATCCGCCTCGCCAGGTGATTTTAACTATGAAAATACTGAAATCTCCACAAAACCTCCTTCTGATAATAATCATATGCTCACTAGTGACCGACTTCAAGAGATATTTCTTGGACTTCTAGTGAGAAGAAGTGACCAGTAGAGTTCAACGACGTCTGTTGGAGAGATATCAACTCTCTGAAGACAATTGGTGAATGGTTACTCAAACATCGTAGATTGGTCAGACATCAACAAGTTAGACATCAACACCGTTGGATGTCAGCTGTCTTAGCGTTCTAGTGGTTAAGTGCTCTGGCGTAAGACTGGTAGGTCCTGGGTTCAAATCTCGCTGGCGAGACGGGATCGTGGATGCTAACTACTGAGAAGTCCCACAATAGGGCGAAACGGCTGTCAAGCAGTGCTTCCAGGTTTTCCATGGTTGTCTAGCTTCAATTGACTCATACTCTCAACTATATGGAAAATATTTATTCAATTTAATTTGTAGCCTATTCTTTTACAAAAATTAATAGCTACTATTTTAATAGAATTGTTAAAATGTATTGTTTAAACTATGTGAAACATAAATTGTTTCACTTTATTTGCAATGTACTTTATTTTTGTATCAGTATAATGAGGATTTGTTAAGTTGATAGACATATATATATATATATATAATTTAGTTTACTCAAATGAACTCAAGATAAGTATAACAATCTTTACGTTAAAACTACAACCAATAGTTGTAAATTTCATTACTAGAAAATATAAATTTGATAATATTAATATTATGCGGTTATTTCCAAAAAGATCTAAAAACACAAGTCAGAAATAAAATCTCCTACAGTAAGTTGCAAATTACGAGTTAGTTACTATGGAAAATATCAACTAATGTTATTTATTATCAAGTATATCGATTATTGACTTTAGAGTTAATCAATAGGTTACCGATAGGATGTTTAATGCAGCACTCAGATATTTCATAATAATGAGATGAGATCTATGCATTCTTACATTTTCAATAAACGACAATTTCTTTTATTCAAAACCGTCGTCATACCACTATACACCATGGAGAGAAAGAAGTTTATTTTACTGTTTTGCGACTTCTACACAATTTGGTTGTACAATGATATGACATGATTAGGCATTAAAAACCTACTAATTTTTGAGTACCATAAGTTTAATCTGAATTATTTGGTTAACATATGTCACTGCTGACAGTGTTACTAGACCATCTGTTTCACCAACAACACGACTGAACTAAAAAAAACTTGCTTTTTGTTGAAATTTCGTGAAATCTCTCCAGAATCTAATAATTTCTCATCTTATAATAATTGGAAATTTGAATAGTTTGTAGGTGCTCGGAGTGTAGGAATTATTCACCAAATAACGCTTGCACCATACTGATGATCAATTAAAGTTAGGAATGTAGGTTATTGGATAGACACTCTGAAGTTAAAAAATACTGTGTTTAACACAAAACGTGAGTGTTCCATGTTCAGCTCTATGCTTGGAGTAACTTGAGGGTTCTGGAAAGTGAATTTTTATTGATCTTTAGTTGTGAGGATAAGAACTAAGAACATCATTTTTCATCCACCGTTTTAATTAAATCATTACCTGGGAGTTTAAACAAGCGTTACATTCTCTAAAAAACATATGGACTTTATGCAAACTATCAATAATGTTTAGAAGTAGTTTACAAAACATATCTGTATTATACTACGTTTTTTTAGCGTTGAGACAAGCGACAACAGGTAGAACGAACTAACTGTATTAACTTTTGAAATCTTATAAGAAACACGAACAAATGCACTATGGTTCACAGAAATCCAGGTAAACTATTCTCGTTAAAAGTTCTTTTATAAATAAGACCGTAGCTATACTTTTTTAAAAACAACTGCATACTATTTATTAGTTTCTTCAACTATTTTTAAAGAATTTTATAGTTAAGATCATGAGTCAATTGAAGCTAGACCACCGTGGAAAACCTGGAAGCACTGGACGGCCGTTTCGTCCTATTATGGAACTCCTCGCGAGTGCGAGTACGTGGATGCGCACTGCTCAGGAGTCCCATAATAGGACGAAACGGCCGTCCAGTGCTTCCAGGTTTTCCACGGTGGCTTAGCTTCAATTGCTCATGATCTTAACTATAAAATTACTAAATCTCCACAAAAACCCCCTTGTGATATTTTAAAATAAATTTTCAAAAATAATCGTGACCATTGCTTTTATGTAGATTGTATAAGACAATGCACTTTGTGTGAAAATTAGAATGAGGAGGAAGCTTTTTGCAAGTTGTATTTAATACAAAAGGAAATGGATTATTTATGCAGAGTATTAATGGATAAAATATCGATTTATGATTATGAAAAAATAGGTGAAACTGTTTGCATACAAGACAAAATATAACTTGTTGACAAGTAAATTCACTTATCTGTCAAGTTGTCTTGATAATTGGTGTTTTGTTCCTTCACCACGACTGTTAATTCAACGACACTAATGAGCTTGAATGATAACTAATTGACAGGTAAGAATATTCAGACAATTTCTACTGTTTTATTGCACCATTCATGTGTTAGCTAATATAGGCTTTTTTAACAGCTAAAATAAATTCCGGAATAGTGGATTATTCCCTTCAGTTATATTTACTACTACAAATAATACAAGCGGTTATATAGGCAAAGATGGATGGTGGTTAGCTATAAAATCCAAGACACGCTTTTCGTCCTATTTGGGACTGGTCGGCTGGGTGTGCCTGTATGCCAGAGTTAAAGCAAACGGTAATGGGTTCGAGTCCTGGATTAAACATGAACTCTGGGATGCAGGCACATCCAGCTGATGAGTCCCAAATAGAATGAATTCCACTGCTTGCCACTACCCATCTTCGCTTATAATGCTTGTGATCTAAGGCAATATCGAGCCAGTACTCACAGGATAAAAGCAAACAATACTGAGTAAATTTAATACATGTAGTTCCTAAGCTGTAAAATAAAGATTTCATAACACTTGATAAAATTTTAAAAAAAACCATACTCCAATACTTCATTTGCAAAATGTTTATCAATTAATTGTTTCAGAATTCATTGTTCCTGCATTTCCATACTAATTACTTTCTGTTCCCGTTCTTTCCTCCTCGATCTTCTTAAGCTTCTGCTGCCAGATATTCTATTTCTGACTAGCGTTATATACTACTTATATCAACATAAGTAACACACACCATAGATGTATTTAAAATCCATGAAAACCATTTAAGATCAAACGATCATTAAGTTAATTATTCTATTAATTATCACATTCACTCTTAGAATGTTGAATGTAGGCATTTTAAAGAATTAATTAAACAAAATGAGTATATACATTTTGTGTATTCAGTCATTTTATGTATTTCTAATTTTAAAGCAATTAGTCCCTTTGATCAATTTCGATGGTGTTATAAGAAGACGAAGATTATCAGAACCATGTGATTTCTTAGCACAGTACATTCCGAACAATCTGATCACATAGTTCTGATAATCTTCGTCTTCTTATTACACTGTCAAAATTTATAATTTTACCTACCCTCATCAACGCTCACAATCCCAGTAGCAGCAATTTCATCAAGATTTTTCATAGCTATTTCTGATGAATCATTCTCCGCTTTTATTCTTTCTAAAGCCTACAAATATACAGAGAAACAATAAATTAATAGGACGAATGATCAAAAAGTGACAAACATATATTAACTATAGAAACATTTGAATTATTATACACAATGTATGTTATAATTGAGTTTTGACATTTTAAAATATTCACTATAAATGTGAGTGATATGACTTTGGTGATGCTTTCACAAAATGCTTAAAACAGATTGATGAAAATATCTTACAATACTTCAGTTATCAACATCTATTGGATATAAATTATACTAAAATAATACCGATGCAAGTGCTCAAGAAGCCTCTATATCACTAAGTCAGTCAGTCAATCACAACGAAGATTTTGAGCCATGTCATTCAAGGTCTCTAACCATCGATTGCTATCATCTCGCGAATCCCGATCAAGTAGTCTTCACCTATCAGCATGGCTCAGTTCAATTGTCAGTGACTTCATGGATTTGTGCCACGCTAAGACATATTGAATCTTGGTATTAAGTATTAACAGTGATAGCGTCAATATTATAATACTTCCTAAACCTCTAAGTTAGGTATACCATAACTTTTTCTAGTAAACTCTGATCGATACTGATGGGTTGTATGCTACGTATGTTGACGAACAAAATTAGTTTGGCACATCAATCAGAAGTGGAAATCTTTTTTAAAAAATTTTGAGGAAATTGAACTGAAGAAAATAGAAAACAGACATAAAGGAATTGAAAAGTGAAAGAATTATAAAGGACGTAATGGACGATTGATGGAAGATTTGTAAATGAAGTATTTGACGTATGGTCTTCATATTTTACGAAAAAACTCTGCAATTGTTCATTAAACAATAAATTGGCTGTTCCCACCTCATTCTTCATTCATTTCATTTATAAAGGTTAATTGAATACCATTCGTAATAAATAACGTCGTACACAGAAATAAATAATCATCAACATTTATATCAGTTTAGAATACATAGAAATGTACAGTTCAACTATCCTGATTTCATATCTCACATTTAAACGTAATAAAGTCAATATTTTGAATATAAATTCCTCAAATCATTAACTAGCAAATGTGGCAACACTTGTATTTCCTGAGTAAATCGAAGCTAGACATCTATGGAAAACCTTGAAGAACTGAATGGTCGTTTCGTCCTAATATGGGACTCCTCAACAGTGCACATCCTCGATCCCGTCTAGAGAGATTCCAATCCAGGACCTTGGATCTCGCGCGCGAACGCTTAATCTCTAGACCACTCAGCTGACCGGTATCCAAAGGTGTTAATTTCTGACTCAAACCAATTCACGAAATTGCGCCACCGTTCATCATTGTCTTCAGTGAGTTACTATCTTACCACAGACCCGGTTATACTTCACTGAGTAGTGCCATACCAGAAAAAAAGAGCGTCCAGTACTTTCGGGTTTTCCATGGTAGTCTGGCTTCAAATAACTCACGAATTCAACTAATAAACTACTAAAATATCCACAAAACTCCTTTCTGATTTGTATTTCAGTTTCTATTTGTGTATTTGATTAATACATTCTGGTGTATCGTTAATGTTCTAAGTTGAACAAAGTGTATTTTTTGTTTTGAAAATTAAAATGACTTTAGACTGATGATTATTACTTTTTTTATGAAATACCATTACATACCAGTTTGATTTGTGTTGTCCAATTCAAACGGAAACATATAATGCACAATGTAGACACTTGTAATGTTGCGGCACTAACGAGACCAACCCAAATACCTATTTTATAACATAAAAAGTTTATTATATAACAATATAATTATGATGTCCCTTTTTCCTGTTTGAAACCAACCGGGTAATTAATTTAAATCAGATTTTTTTAAAAGACGAATAAGCAGTTTATCAGTTGTATTGTTTACAAATGAAATCAGATTTCCTAAGGTCAATGATTAGTGATGTTTCGTTCGCATGATCTTAACTTACCAATCAATATGCAATAGAACTTTATTATTGGAAATAACGAAAAAAAGAAATTAATTTAATTAATAAAATCTTACTCGTTCATTATACATATATGTTTGATACGTAGTGTGCTAGCGGACTGGTATTGGTCAGTAAATGAAAAGAATGAATGAATGAATGAATGATGAATGAATTTTATCTGAATAAATCGTTCATTCTCTAATATCTGGTCCTCTATTGTCAGCTGGACATTATGTCAGTATTTATCAAGTGATCGAGCATAGTGATAAAACTGTTTAACATTGTGATCTAGTGCGTCCAGTCATATTATTTAGTCAATATCTAGTGATTTCATAATTTGATGAACAAGTAGTGTTATTGAATCATTGTATTATATTGTGAAGAATAAGAAAACACTTTTACTTTCTATTATCTCAGTATTATTTTTGATAAGAGTCACTGTGGTATCTAATCAATATTTTACAACAGTGTCCACTAATTACTTTAAGCTCGAAGGTACCTATTCTCAAAATTAATGCGTAACAGTTAAAGTTGTCGTTTTTTTCTAAAATAGGATTAAAATAGTGGTACGATGCAAGTATTGGTACTACTGATAATAAACGTTAATGGTGTTCGGTAAGTTTTTTTTGGAAATAAACTGATTTTAATAACTTCCACCACGTTTAAAAAATTGACTTTAAATTGTGTTGGTGTGTGATGAATAGGCCTCAATTCTTCAGTGGTATCTACTATGTGTTCAATATCGATAAATTGGGATAAAATTAAGTTGTTATTTGACTTGGTTGGAGTCAGCAGTCTTGAACGTTATGCCCAAAGAAAATCTGTACTCTTGTTATCTTTTGGTTGTTAAAAGGCAGATAAGTAAGTGATTTTTCTAGGTCGCCACTTCCAAGATTGTTTTTATTTGCATCTTCACTATCATCTTTCCATTTATAAAATATATTTAGGCCTTGAGCATTCACACAATTTGTACAGAAGTATTAGAAAATCGGTAACATGTTTAGTGTTTAGATAAGCTATTTGTCACCCAAGATTTAACGTATTTGAGATTTTTTTCGTAGCATTATCATAATATCTTGATCGCATTGAAATCATGAACTGACCAACATTAGACAACCACTGCAAACCTGGAAGCATTAGATGGGCGTTTTGTCCCATTAGGAAGCTCGTCAGCGGTGCGAATCCAAGATCCCTCACTCAGGATTCGAAACAGTGACCTTCGGTTTCGATCGCATTGCTTAACCTACAGACCACTATTTCCGCAACCCCAAGCTGGAAAATATCTTCAATATTCATTTCTCTACTATTGTCGCTAAACCCCTTAATATCCAAACAATTTTCATTAACCATCAACCATCGTTATCCACGAGCTGGACTTTATTGGTTAAGAGTTTTGCATCAATTCATTTTGATTGATAATTTCATATGAATTTGATGTTTGAGAATTTTGTATTGGAAATGAATATTATCCACCTGTATGTTTAGATCTCATTTATAAAATAAACCTGTTACTAATATGGGTTGCTTATGGGAATTGTTGCATTTTAAAGCATACATCATCGGCTGATCTTAGTAAGGTAACTACTGAAAACTAGAGTACTGAGTAACTGTTTCGTTCTTGTTATAGAACTTCTTAGTGGTGTACATCACTGAGTATTAACCTATTGATCTAAAGGTTATATGCCCGGCGTTGATTGAAATATTTGTAGACAATATCTAGAAACTATTTAAGTTGTTTTTAAGAAAAATATGATGCAGTTACTAAGCTAAATTACATTGTGCAGTCTCACGGTATGCTTCAAATGTTTTTACATGCATCAATAATTTGTCCAATGTATTGGTTTAAATGATGAATAAAAAAATTATAAGTATATTTTTCAGTGAAATTAGATGAGAAATGTTTACTGTGGTGTAAAGGTAAATTAATTACTTATAGTCAGTAAACTCCAGTTAGGATTTGAAAACAACTCTATTCACCTACCCGTCAATCTAAGATTTACAACATAAACTAAACAAATCCCAAGTGGTACAGCAAACATATAAAGACAGAATATGTTCACAATTGCTCCAACTGTTTGTAAACCTGATCCTTTCAAGACACCACTACATATACCCTTTAAAAAAACAAGAAAAATATTACGTAAAGTAATCTGTGACTGAATAATCTAGAATAAATTTAATAATGATAAAGACTTGTATGAAAAAAGCCATGATCTAATTCTGCCATCACTAATGGCTTGACATTATAGTGTTGTGTTTTATTCTGTGCTTAAATAGTGAAAATATTTGCGTCATCCACCATCTAAAAGTAACGACATTAATTCAGTTGCTTCTTAAGTGATTTTATACTTTTGATTACTTGATTATGATATTAATTTCTTAGGAGATCTTTATATGTCTCAAAGCCAAACATATTGGAAGTGAGACAGTTAATAATAGATGATATTGGATAGTCATTGAATTTTATCAGTAATTGTCTGTAATTGTTGATTAATGGATAATGACATAGTGGCTGAAATTCACTGTGTTCTACCCAAGACCTAAACGTACTTCGTTTTATATAGTACATAAGTATTGAATGAGCACAATTGAGCAATTTCAAACTAAGATCAAAATCTGCACAATCCATTCCAGTTTGTCGTGGATCTTCAGTTTTTAATAAAACTTTTCATCATGCTAACTAAATTATTGACGAAGTCCGTTTGTTACATAAAACAGAATACTGTATTGATCGTGCAGTCGATTGCTTGAAATGATATGATTAATGAGTACTCAGAAAACCTGAGTTTATTAAATCAGAGCACCAGTACAAGAGCTTTGAAAATCATTTGTACATTTGTATACATAATTTTCGGTATAAAAACGCTATATAAAATTTCAGTGAGTTTTAGATATGAAGTTTGTAAGTGTTTCATTACCCTATCGGATTAAAGCCTGATTCTCAGGTTTACTTATCGTCCTCTCTATCAAACCTACCATCTATTTTAGAGAACTCCTACAAAAAAAATAAACAAATTCAATCACTCCATAAAAAGATTAACGAAGCTAAAATGAGACATTTTACATTCATTTCGAATACTTATTTTATAATTTCTATTATATACCAAAAAAAGAAACATGCTTACATTCGCACCATCGATAATTTGAAAATAAGCTATAATTGGCATTAGTTCAGCTACAAGTTCAATGACGCCACTAAAATGAATTAAAAAGTTACAGTGTAAAAGAAAAGAAAAGGTAACTATTGATTCATTACTTAGTAGTAATAATCAGTTAGTACATTGACTTTATAATGAGGAAAGTGAATGATTTTATCATGTTTATTCGGGCAATTCATCAATCAATGAAAGTTATGTAATCAAGGAATTCAAGTTAAGGATTTTATATTAAAAACAAATATGTTTATAGGAATGAATGAATGAAGTAGAAAAAACATTGCAATGTGGTCTACTTATATCCATATAAGTAGTATATGGTGATAGTCAGACATAGAATGTATTTTGACAGAAGACCGATAGGGAACGAACTGAAATGAAGCGCAATCGGTAGGAAAATTCATGAACAATGGAATTAGAGAAGATAGATTGATATTTACAGAAGGGACAATGAAGATTGAGACAATTGATTGTTATTTTGCAAATTAACTGTTTGCTGTATGGTTAACAGAATTTAGTGAGATAGTCTGTAATTTTTGTCTAAATACATTTAATTGTCCCTAACAGGTGTTTTGTTCACTACAATAATAGCTTTTGTTATTTCATTCTGAAGTATAGTATTCACATATATGGTACTAGGAAATAAATAAATTTGTCATTATTATAATTATATTTGCAATAATACACTAATTGTGGATTGGTTGAAGTTAGACATGAACACCGTTGGATGTTGGTCAGCTCAGTGGTCTAGAGGTTAAGCTTTCGAGCGCGAGACCAATAGCTTTGAGATGGAATCTCTCTAGGCGTGATCGTGGATGTGCACTGTTGAGGAGTCCCTTATTAGGACGAAACAGCCGTTCAGTGCTCCAGGTTTTCCATGATGGTCTAGCTATAGTCGATTCATGAATTCAACCGTTAAATTAAAACACTAATAATCTCATGAAGCTATTTTATTTTTAAATGTTTATCAGAAAGAGATTTATGTTAAAGATCAGTAGAAAATGTCAAATGGAAATTTTTTTAGAACAAGCCTGATGTTTTCAAACGTAAATTTGATAATTTTTACACTAGAAAGGAGGATCCTGTTGATTATCTCCAGCTTAATTCAATTATTTACCTATACTTTCAGTAGTATGTTCGTCGGATGAATAAAGTTGATCCCGTTCGACAGGAACCATGAACGTTTATGGAAAAGTGTAATCATGTATGCAGTTAGGTTGACTGGACAGTGACAATCAAGAATATGGGTAGTATAGTAGATTCATTACCAGCATTTTGAATAATCAGTAACCTAAATCATTTGAGGATATTGCGTTATGTAAAGGCAATAAAGGTTAATCGTTTAAATACTGATTCATCTACTCAAAGGGTTCATATAGCGAATAGTCATTATCCTTTTAACTATTTTTAACAATCCTAATTATTGACATTCCACAACCTTTATAATACTTTTTGGCCTGCCAAAATAATTTCGGTTAGTACACAACTATTTCAGCCACTTGTTTAGATTAGATTTTTTTGTTCTATATGTATCATTGTATACAACCTTAATACTCTTTTAGGTAATTACACAAATATTTGGTCATTTATAACTATAGGTACAATATCTGAACCCCTTATAACCTGTCAAACAAAAATGTGCTTTAGCTAAGTGATTTTTTGGAGGGGGTGATTGGATCGAGGAATATAAGGTATCACAGCAAATGCTTAACATCGGGACTACTCAACCAGTGTCCAATGGTTAACATGTTTAACTTTGATAAATTCGCTGGACTGGGTAATCACTTTTCACTCTTATTATTTGGTAACGGGCTTCACAAACAGATCCCACTAATAACCGTTTATCAGTAGAACTCTTGGAATTAATCTGAAAATTAGTTATTAGAGAGTAAATAATGTCTATTAGTATATGGGTTTGTTGAGATTATTAAATGTACCCTTAATAAGATTGAATACAAATAGCAACTTCAATATATTTAGTATGTATAGAAGTTATTTATGAAGGTAAAATTGTCGAAAAAAAGAGAATTGACTACTTTGAAATATTTTAGAAACGATATTTTCAATGTCTAGGTAAGTAGTATTAAAATACCGGCAAGACTATAATTTATAGATGGACTAATCGTATATAAGATAACAGGTTTTGGATTTTTGCACGAAATCCATTTGGCTAAATGATGTTTTTTGCATTTTAACTGATGAAAACCCTAAATCTTGTTCCCAACCACCAACCGTAAATCATAATTCCAGCTCCTCACAGTGCTTTATAACTCTCATTTAGTCTTGACTAGTATGTGGACATCCTCAGGGTCACTTTATCATCGCTCAAAGGTCGTTTATAAATTATAGTCTCACCTAAATACCTTATACCGTTCAGCTTATATAATTCTATCACAATTTAATATTATGTAACTAGTCATCTTTATAGATATTCAGATTTACGAAAACCCTTTTTAACGAAATTCCATTTGAATTGATTAACAATAAAGAAAAAATCACTCGGTAACAGGTTATTGAACTTACTCATCAGATGTAAAAACTCTTGGTAAATACCTTCTTGTAGCAATTAAAATTCCTACATATGGTAAAGCCCAACAGCCTTAAATTTGCAAAAAAAGGAAAAGATATTGATTTTTAATTATCTGATAAGCAATAATTACTGAAATTCTTTTTTTATCAGTTTGAACTTACCAACTAATGTCATTGCTACACTAAATACAGAATATGGGCCTCTAGCACATCGAGCACCAAGATATTGTCCTACACGTATACCTGTTGCACTACCAACACCAAGTGGGAGCTAATAAAGCAAAAAAAAATGTTAATACAATTTTTGTCATTTACAAATTTGACTAAATCAACAACAATTAACGTAGCATAATGACACAAGTTCATCATATTTTGTAGTTTCTTGTCAGCTTGTAAGTAGATTTTACGTACCTGGGAAGCATCATTGATGAACAAGGAGGATATAATGCAGACTTAAAGGCTAAGATTGTCAAAGCAAGGACAGCATTCCTACAACTGAGGAAGGTATAAGACTCCAAAAAACTGTCAACTAATTTCAAAGTGAGAATCTTCAATACGAACGTCAACACAGTCCTGTTGTACGTAGTTGAAACGTGGAGAACTACTACATCCATCGTCAAGAAGGTACACGTATATATAAACAGTTGTCCACGCAAAATACTCAATATTCACTGGTCAGATACCAACAGCTACAGCCTTTTATGAGAGAGAACAAAACAGCTTCCAGCTGAAGAGGAAATTAGGAAAAGACGTTGTAAGTGGATAGGACATACATTAAGGAAATCACCAATGTGCATCACGAGGCAATCCCTAACTTGGAATCGTGAAAGGAAGCGGAAAAGAGGAAGGCCAAAGAACACATTACGCCAGGAGATTGAAGCAAATATGAAAAGGATGAAAAAAAACTGGAAAGCATTGTCCAGGACAGGGTTGAATTGATAATACTGGTGGGTGACCCATACTCCTCGACGAGAGGTGACAGGCGTAATTAATTAAGTAAGTTGTAAGTATTTGACGAAAAATTAAAAAATATAATAAATTTGTGTTATTCTACTACATAAATTGTTCTTGATTTGATCAAAAAAATAGAAAAAAAAGAAAAGTAGTGAACTTAACTAAGGGACTTTTCTACTGTTTTTCATCAAAGTATACAATCAAGTAGTTAATTAAATTCATTTGAAGTTATTGAAATTTTAATTCATCCTGTAACTATTCATATACAATTTTACCGTAGACTATTATAAGTGGAAACAATATTGTAAATCATCACAAAAGGGATAGTTAGTTATTTCTTGTTTAAAAATTTCTCAGAAACGTACAAGTACAAATTCGTTGAAAAAGTCATAAGTACCATGTATTAGTAATATGTGTGAAAATCTTTGATGTTAGGGAAAGTGTACATTGGCTAAAATGAGGTTTATCTAAAAACAGTCAAAACAATGTCGGTTAATCTCCTCAAATAAATCTCAGACGTAACACTTATTCATTGAAAATAAATTAATTCATTTAGTTTATTTCGAGAATCTTTTCGAAAAGAATACTTTCATGTTTATAATAGGTTGATTCAAAAATGATCTACCACTTTAGACTTCATAGGGAAACACATTAATTTAATGGATAAGTCAATGGAATTTAAAGAAGCTTATGTCTGTTACGAGCTGCATAAGATTAGTACTGGTATATACCTATAAATAACTGATAACTCACAAATAGACAGAGATATATCTTGTGGTCTCTATTCTCACTTATCACTGCATGAAGTGATATCGAAATGAATTATGTGGTTTGATCTTAAAGAAAATTTATGTTCACTTTTAAACTCTAGTAAAGCTGTTATTTATACTTTGATATATATATATATATGGTTTGAATGAAATTGTTATAATTTTAAGGGACCTGAAAGATATTGCTACCAAGGGAGCATTACGGAGAAACAAATAAAATGAATATAACAATAACAAGTGTGATTACAACTACCTACTCAGATTATGCATGATCATTCCACGAAAACAACCGTATAAATTTGGTTGACTAGACAACGTAAACTGACATTTGAGACTAGGGTAGTTTAATAATATGTTATATATATATATATATATATATATATATATATATATATATATATATAGAGAGAGAGAGAGAGGGGGGGAGGGAGGGAGGTAGGGAGGTAGGGAGAGATGAAGTTTAACTGTTAGTAAGTTTTGCATAAATTTTAACCTGGAGATAAAAAAAATTCTGTTTAACTACTTGATTTTATATGTATGACAATTCAAATATTCAAATTAGACAAACCGTTTTTTGTTGGAAAATGTTGGTTATATGAGAGTTAGAAAAACATTGTTTTTTTTTGAAAAAAAGAACAGTTTTTGTCGCAAAACAGAATTAATTTCCAAAACTAGTGAGACTTATTATTTAAAATTGAATATATGAATGAGTATATCAGTAATGATGAAGGCTAAAATATTTTAACAGATTAGTTGTTACCTTTAGTTCATTCAAACACTTGACGAAGTGTTTTATCATAATGCTCAAAATGAATTTTATGTTGAGCTTACCAAGGTATAACTAATAGATCCAATAGATAGAATAATGGTTTGTGCAGCAAGTTCACGAGCTCCCAAAGTTCCTAAAATAAAAACAACACCATTGGAATAAGTATTACACTTCTTTAATCTGTTTTCGCTGTATGTAGTACAACGAATAAAACTGAGAGATTGCAGATTATTCATCAACTACTTCTTTATTGAGTGAAAATTCAGGTTTACTCTTTCTGTATCAATCCATCAAAATATGACCTATCATTCTAAACTCTATTCATACATCAGATATTATTTATGTACAATTAAATCTACAATCAGTTCATAAGAGGTTTGGTTTCAAAGTAACTGATAAGCGTCCATCTTTTTTACCTAATATTTTTATGCTGTGTAGTACAACAAAACTTAATTACTCTCTATATACATTATGAAAAACTCAAACTCAATATACTATTAGCTTTCCAATATTTTCAAAAAAATAAGACTATAAACAAAGATGGGTGGTGGATAGCAGTGGAATCCAAGACTCGCGTCTCGTCCTATTTGGGACGTACCTTCATTCCAGATTTGATGTTCACTCCAGGACTCGAATCCATTACCATTCGCTTCAAACACCGTCCTGTTATCCTTTTAGCTATTCAGTCCTGATAGCGTTTGAAGTGAACGGTAATGAATTCGAGTTCTGGAGTGAACATCAAATCTGTGATGCAGATACATTCATCTGATAAGTCCCGAATAGGACGAGACGCGCGTTCTGGATTCCACTGCTATCCACTATCCATCTTTGCTTATAATGTTTGTGACTTAAGGCAATATAGAGGCAATCCACACAGGATCAATATGTGCCAATAAGAGATTGGTCAATTGCAGTCCTAAACATTAATGGGAAAACTCAAATAAACAATACAAAATGAATTTAAAAAATAAAACTGTTTTTACTCCGGTTTCATTAGGAGCCTAAATCTCATTTCGAAGTAATAACACTCTAGATTTTCTTGAATCATATTAATTTAAATCCTATTACTTTACTGTTTCAGTTATTACTATTCAAGCGGATGACATATATTGCTAGGATAATTAATCTGTTGATTTTAGTCACTACAACTTTGAAATAAAGTCCAAATTACTTTAGTATATTTCAGTTAAAAAAGTATTGACAAAAAATTATACTGATCATTGTAAACAGTATATAACTAGTAATAAACGTTTATTTATTGTTATATCCCAATGGGTAGAAAAATGGTATTTCCAACGTTTCGTAACATAGCGTAATCCACTTCTTCGGAGTAAATAAGTAACCATATTAAAATTACACAAGTTTATATAGTACAAAAGAAACTATTAAATCCAACCTTAGCATTGATACCTACATTATATACCTTAGATTGATGGGAGTATAAAATATCAAGGACAGGATATCCTAAATTGAAACTGATCAGTTTCTACTGCTATTTGTGAATTCTGAGATCTCTCTTTTATTGCGTTTTGTCAAGCGTTTTAATGTACTTGATATTTGTCCGAAGGTAGAAACCAGGAAGCAAATCTTATACTTTTTTTTAAAATTTTCCAGCTGAATATACCCATCTAATGTATATGCTAAAAATATGTGACTAGTTTGAAAAATGCAAGTCTTAAAACACCACAAACATATTACTGAAGAATGCTAGGTTTAATATCGTTGAGTTTTTACTGTATTACAGTATAGAGAATATATATATACTGAGTTTAGTTCGTGCATTTGTTAGGTTTATTTTGAATTTTATACTCTATATTCCTATATATCATCCAACTACTGAACTCTCAGTGTCAATGGTCTTCAATATGAGATTTTGAATGAGTAACATGGTAGCCACAAAATTAACTTCTCTAACATTCAAAATTTTCCGTACATTCAACCCAGGTAATATCACTCAGTAACTTATGTACTGATCTAATAAAAAGCATAATCAATTCATCAATGTACCTTTTCATTTACTGTGAAATACCAGTTTTGATAATTTCGCTAATGAGAGTTTATGTTTTCATCATTTCGATGAAACAAAAAAGTAGCTTGTTTAAACTTACAACCAATGTGTTTGAATAACCACTTGAATACAGACACAACGAGACTATAATTTATGGACTAGTCAATCAGGAGAGTCTGAGGGATTTCAAGGTCACAGCGCCAATTTCAGTACCTAATGCTCATGCACAATCGGTTCACAGAGGATTTTAGAGAAAACGTGACAATTAAGCGGCTACAATAAATCGGACTACTAAGAAGTTCCTTTATTTGTAATTGTGGTAATCGATTGACTTGTAGACCTTGCGCAGACTATCCTGATGATGTTATCTTTCGATGTAATATATGTTGGAGGAAGAAGTCTGCTAGACTAGAAACTTTTTTCTCTCGACCCAGATTGAGACTAAGACAAATTATAATAATTTCTGTGAACTGTATGATAAAAGCACCAGTATTATTGTCTGCAATGTTCGCAGATGTTACTGAAGCTTCGGCTGTTCAGAGGTATGAGTGTTGTAAGAATATATGCGTAATAAAAATGACAGTCTTACAAAACCGGAGTACACACAAACGATATTGAAGCTATGTGGTCGAGGCTGAGAGAGTTTTTGTTACCTTATCATGGCTCCAGATACCGAGTATTATGAAGCCATATCAATTAGTTCCTCTACCTTATGCATTACGATTTTAAAACCTTTCAACCTCTTTCTTTTTGGACCATGTAACAGAAGTGTACCCACTCTAATTCTTTGGTGTTGTATAATATATTTTTACTTTATGCTAATTGTCTACTAATTGTCTAATATTTCTCAAAATTACTTAAGATTCGTTCAAAGGTCGTCCATAAATTATAGTTTCGCTACAGACACTTTTCGTTAACTTTCTCTTATTTTTTCTTCGGTTCATACATTGTTTTCAGAGCAACTTTACTGACATTACATCTACATAAATCTATATTGCATGTTAATATTATGTAAAAACATTATTTCACAATAGACTTTTCAATGATCTTACCAGCGATAAAACCACCAATTTCATAAATTGTCCATTCAAGACTAATCATAATTAAACCAGGTATAGCTAAACGAAACCATATATTCCAATCTTCCCAAACTTCCGTTGTAAATTCTGAAAAGAAAAGCATGAAAAACAAAGGTATTTTATTAAATAATTTTGATGGACGACAAAGTGTAAGATATCATCAAAGCAAACTGAAGCCTATCAATTACTTTTCCAATGAAATGATAACTAGCTTTTTTACCTATGAATTACAGGCATACGATTAATAAGTTCTAAAGTCTAAGAATATGAACATAAGTTAATCGGTATTTCTCATGAATATTTAGACACTATTGAAAAGTTTTAAATCAAACTGCAGATTTATAGACTGATAATCTGCTTCATTAGTGATCAGTTGATATCCCCGTAAAACATAACATCTATCAAAATATTAGGTTTAAAATAATGTAGAATATCCAAGCAAATTATATTGCTAAGTGATATATATGTATCAGTTGAATCGCTCATTTGAATGAGTACTCCGGTCATTTCGGTATGAAGAAGACATACACAGGCATCTGATTTACATATAATAGTTAAAAAATTCTATATTCAATGACAGTCGTCCATTTATATTCGATAATTTAGTTTGTGATCAGAAATGGGGGTTTATGAAGATTTTGGTAATTTTAAAAGTTGAATTCATAGGTCGATGTAGGGTAGAAAATCATTGAAAACTTGGAATCACTGAACGGCAGTTTCGTCCCAGTATGGGACTCGTCGGCAATGTGCATCCGCAAACCCACACCCAAAACTATGAATCTCTCGCGCGAACGCTTAACCTCTAGATTATTGAACCGGCATCCAGCGTTGCTGATATCTAACTTCACTCGATTCACTATCTTGCGCAACCTTTCATCCGTTGTCTGAGGTGGATAACTGTTAGGTATATGCGCGCCAAACTGAAGGTCATGAGTTCGAGCCCGCACGAGGGGTCGTTAATGCGCACTGCCGAGGAGTCTTACACTAAGACGAAACTGCCGTCTAGTGCTTCCAGGTTTCCAATGATCTTCTAGCTTATATCGACTCATGAATTCGACTATTGAAATTCAAATTGTAACTAAGATAATTTTGCATGATCTATGCATTTAATATCCTAAGGATCAAATCTAAAAATCATATCTAGTAAACATTTAGGATAAACACACCTTCAAGGAGTGTTGTACTGATTAATTCAGTTAAATATCTGTTTAACAAGGAAGTAAAACCGTCAATCGTATCTCGAAAAGATCATGATGATTTTTATATCTTAGTTTTAGCTTATTTTTAGGGGAAATATATTTGGTAAGTTAGATTATAGCGAAAAATAGTATACCACTGCATATATTTGAGGTCACGACTGAAACAAAATTTACACGTATAATGACAAATTGTGCCACTAATATTGGTTTCATTTACTATTCGGTAACCAGCTATTATAGATTCAAGTGTTATGTTCCTTAACTTTTCACATTACAAGAGTTTTGTAACAAGTAGTAAGAGTCGTAACCTGTACGATTAATAATTTCATAAGTAAGACAGTTACTTATTAAATAAAGTGTAACATTTTTATAAGCAAGGACGGATAGTGGCTAGCAGTGGAATACAGGACGCGCCTTTCATCCTATTTGGAACTTATCAGATGGATGTATCTGCATCTCAGATTCGATATTCACTCTGGGACACGAACCCAGTACCGTCCGCTTCAAACGCCATCGTGTTATCTACTCAGCTACTGAGTCCTGATTGCTAACTGCTTGTGCAAGTGGGTTGAGTTTAAATTCACTTGGTGTTGTTTACATGTATCTTCCCATTGTTATTTAGGACTGCAATTGGTCAGTCTCTTGTTGGCATATGTGCATCCCATGCGGATCCTATGCCGGAAGTCACAAGCTTATAAAAGCAGTCCGCGCAGGATGCATATATGCCAACAAGAGACTGATCAACTGCAGTCTTAAATAGCAATGGGAAGATACAAGTAAACAACACCAAATGAATAGTGTAACACTGTTTAGTTATAATACTAATCAATCGCAAAAAATGACCACTTGTTTCCAAATCAGTAATCGATAATAATCGATCAACCTACTGGATATATAAAGGTTCTAGGTGTAAACTATGAAGAAGACAAAAACAGGGACGAAATAATCATTCATTCATCTTTTGATTTTCAACAATTCATCAATAAGAATTGTATTTAAAGATAAGTCATTTACTTTATATAATCATTCCATTTTATAATAAGTAATACCTATAATTTTAGTGTAATTGTTCCATAAATTTTAAAACTTTTAAAATTGATTTGATTTTTTAATTTTTTTGTTCTTTTTTTAAAAAAAAACAAAAACAAAAAGTAGATCGTAGCAAGATGAGAAATTGGAAAATGAAAGGATTTGATTGTGTGTGTGTGTGTTCGTTTCCTTCATATTTCACCAAATGTAAATGAATGACAACTATAATCATCTGTAGATAGGTGTGGACATACATACATACATATAAAACTTATTTTATTTTAAACTATAAATAACTATTAAATAATAAGAAAATAAATAAATAGATAGATAGGTATAGTTTTGTCTTTGTATTGACCTATTAACTATACACATCCATAAGTTATTTTTTGCCGTATTATCAACCTAAACATTTTCTAATAATAATCGTTATTTCAAGTTCTTATTCACAAAGATATTCAAACAATATTTGATAAGCAAAGATGGACAGGAACTAGCAGTGAAATTCAGGACGAGCGTCTCGTCCTATTCGCGACTCGTCAGCTGGATGTACCTACATCTCAGAGTGGCTATCAGGACTCAGTAGCTGAGTAGATAACACGATGGCGTTTGAAGCGAAAGATACTGGGTTCGAGTACCGGATTGAACATCAAATCTGAGATGCAGATACATCCATCTGATAAGTCCCAAATAGGATGATTAAGATTAAATGGTAATTAGATATTTAAGCAGAGATATACATGTTACAAACCATTTACTAGTGAATGTACAGTCAAAAAAACTAATGTACTAATGTACATGGAAGCTAAAAATGTGATTACTAGATTATATTCTATGTAGTACTATTTAAATTAGAATGTTAAAATAAAACTCTGCCGAGAAATGTTTTTAAATTCTGCAGTTGATGAATGTTTCAATGTTAAGATCGCTGAATTCCTTTATAAATTTAGGAAATTGTCATACAGAAAGTCTTTAGTGGCTGGTATGATATACTGTAGGTTAGTTAAAGTAAGATATCCCTGACAGCAGACCTTACCTTAGTAGTACTGTAATGAACAGAACACTGGTTGGGGACAATCGAATGTATTTAAGCAAACATTACAGACTATCTCAGCAAATTCTGATAACCAAACAATGAACAGTCAATTTGCAAATTAACAACCAATTGTTTCAATCTTCACTGTTTCTTCTCTTATTCCATTGCTTATGCATTTTCCAAACGATTGTGCTTCATTTCCGTTCTTTACTTATCGGTCTTCTGCGAAAATACATTCTATGTCTGACCCACACCATATACTACTTATATGGATATAAGTAGACCACACCACAGTACTAACAATTAAATGTTTGGACAAGACATAAGTTCTAGAACCAATCACCAGTGAATTTGCGGATCCCAAACTCAAATAAAATGGAGACACATTTATCTTCCTTAGTTTATATCAGTACCTCAAGTAAGAACAAACCGTGATGAATACCATTACAAGAATGTATTCACTTTGTTCTTTAATTTTATTTTTGACACAGTCATAAGCATTTGTGATTATAACGTCATCTCCTTCTATATTGGAAGTCCGTCTCAACACATGACCATTCACTAACCTTAACTAGTAAACTTTCGTATTTTCTGTTTACTTCTTGTTTTTCCGAATATCTTTTCCATTATAAAGGTCACTTTCAACAACAACAACAAACTGTGCTCATAACCGTACAAATTATTCGTTACTTAAAGCTATTTGTAGTTGATGGAAATATTGAAAATAGAATAAAATTAACTTTATTTTATAAATCTTATTATTTTTTACTTTGATATTGAATAAGCTACTTAATATACCGCGATAATTCAGTAGTAAATGATACTTATATACAAATTATGTATATTATTAACAATATATATGACTTGAAAGCGTGAGTCAATAGAAACTAGACCACCATGGAAAACCTGGAAGCACTGGACGACCGTTTCGTCCTATTTTGGGACTCCTCAGCAGTGCGCATCCCTGAACTGGCCTCGCGAGATTTGAACCCAGGACCTACCAGTCTCGCGTCAGAGCACTGCTGAGGAGTCCCATAATAGGACGGAACGGCCGTCCAGTGCTTCCAGGTTTTCGATGGTGGTCTAGCTTCAATTGACTCACACTCTCAACTATGAAAATACTAAATCTCCAAAAAAAACCCTTCTGATAATAACAGGAATAATTTGTACTTCAATATTTGAATATCACTTTTTTTTACTCTTTTCAATGACTTACTAAAGTTGATATTTTTGGAAAGACCTATGAATTTGATGTAGACAATAAAGCATACAACTTGGAAAAAATATGCTGTTGCTTGGGATATTGGTGAAGCTCTAAAATTTGTAACCCAAAAAAAAGAAAGAAACAAATCCAAATAGATAAATTAGAAATATTCATCAATATCAGTCATGTTTTTTAATTAATCTAGAGGCAAATCATTCTCGAGATTTCAACTATCAGTTATGAATGATGAATTCAAAGATTATTGAATAGGTTCAAAGACATAATGAATAATCAATCTTGGCTACAATAATAAATTTTCTTTTAATTTATTATTTGAATATATTCGTTGTATTATTCTGATAGATTTCACGTTCTTATCATTCTTCGAAGTTGAAATCATGAGTCAATTGAAGCTAGACCATCATCGAAAACCTGGAAGCACTGGACGGCCAACTCGTTTTATTATGGGACTCCTCACAAGTGCGCATCCACGAACCCGCTCTCGCGAGCGAGATTCGAACCCAGGACCTACCAGTCTCGAGCCAGAGCCCTTAACCGATAGACCACTGAACCGGCATCCAACGATGTTAATGTCTAACTTCAACCGATCCACGAATTATGAACGAAACAGCCGTTCAGTGCTTCCAGGTTTTCGATGGTGGTCTAGCTTCAATTGAATCATGATTTCAACTTTGAAAAATACTGAAGTCTCCACAAATCCGCTTCTACTTATCACTCATTTAAACACAAGATTACTTTATGGTACATTACTTCTTTTTGTTGGAAAAAGAAAACCCAGGAAATTACTATACATTAATCTTTTTACGTACATAGTCAATTAGTTTACCTGACATCCATATTCATTATATAAATCAGTATATAATGCATTAATGCATTGATACCATTCACAAAAATCATAATAACTAATGGAGCATATACATAATTCTGTAGGAAAGAGAAAAAAACAACAAAAAGCACTATTAGAATAACGCCAAAAAAAAATCCGCTTTAAGTTATTGCAAAATTTGTTAGAATAGAGTGAATTAAAGGAATTCATATATGTTAGCTATACAACAGATCGACAACTATTTAATTGGTATTGTGGTGTGTGCTACTTATGTCGACATATATAAGTAGTGCGTATCATCAATCGAAAGCGAAATATCTAGTGGCAGAAGGTTAAGAAGATCAAAGGAAAGAGAGTAAGAACAGATAATCATTGGTGTGAAGACAAAAAAACAATGAACTCTGAGACGATCGGTTGACATTTTGCAAAAGGAACAATTAAGTCTGAAATTATTGATTGACATTTTGCAAATGAAGCATTTACCCTGTGAATCTCTGATTTTACTAAAAAATTCTGTAATTTTGTGTTGAAATACATTCGATTATCCCCATTTGTGTTCTCGTTCACTACAGTATGATTAACCACCTCAAAAGTCAAACTTACTAAATATTTGATGTGGTTATGATTTACTGAGATTATTAAGATGGCAAGTAAACACTAAAGAACATTCTACATGTAAAATTATTTTCTAACTTTTGTGGGATTAAAATCATAAGCCCATATTTCACACACCTACGTCTTACCATCAAACTTCATGATGATGTTAAAATTTGAAATAAAAAGTGATAGGATTAACTTGGAAAGATTTTTTTGTTATATTTCATGTATATATAATTAATTTTACCTACAGGTATTCTAGTAGACTAGCATACAAAAACATATATATTCCGTCTATCATGTGGTCGTTTGTTGTAGCCAAGTTTGAAATGATTACAATGTGTAAACATTATATAATAATCAATCAAAATTTTCATCGAATATGTTTTAGGAAGATTTTCATATCTCTTCTATCATTTTTTTTGTTTCCATCAGACTAGTTAGTAGGTGGACATCCTTGTGGTATGAATAACTGCTGATTTGTAATTTCCCATCACGTGACATAACCCGTTGTGGTTGTATTTACTATATATATACAGTAAATACAAAAAAATAGTAAATGCCAAACTCATGTGAAGTGTCAGTTTAGAGGCCTTTGTAAACAGCTAGTATGTATGCAATTAGATTTAAACGGAAGGAAGTCCAAGACCTAAATTTCCTTCATTCGCCTAGATAGCTCAGCGGTAGGGCTATGATACTAAATAGCCAGAAAACTAAAGAAGTCATTTTTTCCTACAGGATAACAGATGACCTGTACTAACTAACATAAATCTTTGGGTCAAAAGCATCTTCTGGAAATCTTACAACTGCTCAATACCAGAATAAAGTTGATTACAACATTGAATCACTCACGTTACTAACTTGATTAAAACTTGATCGAACAGTATAGATAATCATTTGTAATTAGTCAGCACTAAACTGACTACTACACAGCATTCAGCTAAAAAAGAATAATTAATTCTGAACCATGAGAAAAAACAGTTCTATAATTTCAAATGCTGAGGAGATTTGAGTTTAGTCTTTAAGAATAATGTTACTTAGATCACTAAATGAATTGATATTTGTATATAACAATGATAAATAGATAAGTGGAATAGAAATAATTCCCTCAAGGAAAACTTTTTTATAAGTTAAACTCTAGTAAAATCATATAAATACTGAACGATAAACTGTTACGTAGATGTATAAAATTGGAAAAACAGAATAAATAAGGTAATTCATTATGAAATTCAATTTTCTAGATATAGATCCTGTTATTTTATTTATGAACTATTTCCATCCTTCAAACAAACATTTTACAAAGGATATTATCAAAAATTTAGTTAGTGGAGACCAAACCAAAACGTGACACCGGTCCTTGAAGTCACTAACTTCTAGTTTGAGCCATGTGGGTAGATGTAGACTACTTGGTTGGGGTCCGCGTGACTATCGTAACCAATGGTTGGAAACTCTGGGTGAAATGGCTCAGAATCGATCATAATGGCGTCGATGTATACACTCTATCTTCCCTTAAACCGTGAGATTAAAATTGCTTCATATCTGTCTTCCTGTACTATCCTTATGTGCAATCTTTCTTTTATATATTAGCACCACTAAATTAACTACTTCTATGAATTTGGTGTTCATCTTTTTGTGTTAATGAGTGAGGTATGGCAACTTGGACCGATGCATATAAATGCCTGATCCTAGGTCGTAGCTGACTGACCGACTGATAAAAAATTTATTCCAGTTAACTTAAAGTTTAATTTATCTCTTTTATTATATTTTGTGGTTTAAATGAATATTAACAGTATTAGGATTTGTGGAGATTGTAGTAATTTTTAACAATTTAATTGATCAGTTGATCTAAGCTAAACCAGATTTTCAATGGTGGTTTAGCTTAGATCAACTCGTGAATCGAACTGTTAAATAATTGATAACCACAAATAAATTTGTAAAACATTGTAAACTAAGACTTATTCTAACTTTCTAATCGAAAATTATAGGTTATCATAAATCCGAACCAATAAATTTGATCATGTTAAAAAAGTTATTTGTTTATTTATACATTTGAACACATAAATATTGGTACAAGGGGACACCAGATATGTATGCGCCATACAAAACATTGTCATTCCATTTAATTGTGTGTGGGCCATGTTACGGACCTGGTGATTAGACCGAAGCAGGTGGTTTTCTTAGAAGGCCACGCCCCCAAGCCTTTGACCTAAAGGTTCGATCCACAAGGTAGTGGAGCATCGTAAGGAGATGCAGTCCCATAGTAGCCGGTGACCAATGACTGGTTCTTACGCCATTTGTTCCATCAGGATAATGGAGCCAACCCATGTGCACCATTGGTTTGGAATGAGGGTTTTCCAACTCCCCTAGGTGGACTCATAGTGTCCACCAACCCGGTTAAAGCACCGGACATTCGCTTTTCGTCCTCTCAATTTCGTAAACAACAGTAATGCTGAGAGAAGGCAGTGAGTAAGACTTCCCTGTCAGAGGCTATATATTTGCGTGGCCATGTGAGAGCATTTGGAGAGGGAGAGCGAACTCTTACCACTCTCGGCCGTACCGGGGCATTTGGTTGATCATTTATTATGATAAAATATGAAAGTATTTATATCAAATAGAAACTGAACATGATTCCGATTAAGATTAGCATAAATCTTATCAATAAAGAGATATATTAATTAAAAAGCAACAACAACAACAATATTGGACATACTTGTGTTTGAACAAACCTGATAAATAATTGTCCAAGTGAACTAAACTATAACAAAAGTGATCTGGATAATTATACATTTTTACAACTTACAAGTAATCCCGGTATAAGATAAAGCAACAATTCACCAGTTCCCCTATGTAATAAGTACAAAAGATAAACAAATTTTTAATTAATGTTTACTGCAAAAGAATTATGTTTCTACGAAAAAATTAAAATAGATATTTACTTCCTTAAGCCTGTTATCACTCGTGGTGGAGCATAGACCGTCCACCAACAGTCTACACCCAATCTTGTTCTGTGCATTCCTTTCAAGTTCTTTACAGTTGATATTCATCCTTTTCATGTCTGCCTTCAAATCCCGACGTAATGTGTTCTTCAGCCTTTATTTTTGCTGTTTTCCTTCAGGATTCTAAGTTAGCACTTGCCTCGTGATGTAGTTTGGTGATTTCCGTAATGTATGTCCTATCCACTTCCAAAATTTTTTCCTAGTTTCCTCTTCAGCTGGAGGCTGGTTTGTCCTCTCCCATAAAAGGCTGTTCCTGATGGTATGTGGCCAGTGAATGTTGATTATTTTGCGTAGACAACTGTTTATAAATACTTGTACCTTCTTGACGATGGATTTAGTAGTTCTCCACGTTTCAACTACGTACAGTAGGAGTGTCTTGATGTTACTAATTTGATATTGGTTGATTGATGTTGTGAGTTCCATATGCTCTTCAAATGTAAGAATGTGACTCTTGCTTTGCCAATCCTCGCCTTTACATCTGCATTAGATCCTCCTTGTTCATCAATGATGCTTCCCAGGTACGTCAAAGATTTCACAACTTCCAGAGTTTCTCCATCAAGTGTGATTGTATTGGTGTTCTCCGTGTTGTATTTGAAAAACAGATATTTCGAAATCTATAATATTTTATTGATACATAAATTTTTGTGGTAATATATAAAGTTATTTTTCTCACTTAATTGCATAATTAGTACTCATAACCGATAGACGTTGTAATATTTCGAATAGGTAAATGCTAAAAACTAGGCCGCCGACCAGCATAGCATATAAAAAATATAATTATGACACAATGATTTATCAAGAACCTCTGAATTAATCTTTTTCATGAATTATTATGTAAGAGACTTACTTTGCAATTAAAGGATTTTGTCCAAGTAATAATAATAATGGTTCCGCATTCAAGTACAAAGCACATGATGGAATGCAACATAATAAAATTAAGATAGTAGCTTTAAAAAGAAAAAAAAGAATTAAAACTAGTTGTTTAATTGGTTCCCATTTTTCAAAACTTGTAATAAAGGAAATATAATTATCAGAATAGGCCATTTATGGGGATAATTGAATGCATAAGTCTATTTAAGCTAGACCATCATGGAAAACCTGGAATCATTAAAAGACATTTTCGTCCTAGTATTTAAAATTATTTAATAATTAAACTGTTAAGATTACTTATTCTTAAAAGACTAATATTTGAACGAAGAATATTCTTTTCGATAAATTCTCTTTAGGTTCCACAATTATATAACCCGCTCTCGCGAGCGAGATTCGAACCCAGGACCTACCAGTTTTGAGCCGAAGCCCTTAACTGATAGACCACTGAGCTGGCATCGGCTCGAAAACTGGTAGGTTCTGGGTTCGAATCTCGCTCGCGAGAGCGGGTTTGTGGATGCGCACTGCTGAGGAGTCCCATAATAGGACGAAACGGCCGTCCAGTGTTTCCAGGTTTTCCTCGGTGGTCTAGCTTCAATTGGCTCATGCTCTCATCTATGAAACATACCAAATCTCCACAAAAACCCCTTCTCTTATCTTTATTCACAAATCTTTGTATTATTATTATTATTGGTTAAATATCATTATTAATCCCCCTATACATGAATCATTCACTTCGCATTGATCCCTCCTTATTACGTCTTACTAATTTTTCACACAATTTAATCTTCCACTTGATCGACTTGTAATTGCACTATCATATATCTCTCTCTTACCCTATCTGACCCATATTTATATTCTGAACACAGATCTTAAATTTTCACTTTACATATATACAGATTCAAGTAAACATTCTATATGAGTCATATCAACATTAACAATTTTATTCTATTTGATTTGACAATCCTAAATTTACATTCTTGAAACGATGTACTTTGCCTTTAACCTGGCCATTTATTATTAATTTGGATATATAATTGTAGAACCTAAAGAGAATTTATCGAAAAGAATATTCTTCTTTCAAATATTAGTCTTTTAATATGATTGGGATTTTTAAACGATTACTTATTCTTATCTGTATAAGGACTTTCGTCTAAATTAGAGAGAATAGTTTCATTGTAATTAGGCGCCGTGTTGATGTAAAACATTAAATAGGAATAATCTCAGCAAATAAATTTGAAGTAAATCAAACGTTTCGCCTAGCAATCTGGTCCAAGCTTTTTCAAGAAAATATAATCAAACATCCAAATTATCAATTGATTACATTCCCTTGAAAAAAGCTTAGACCAGATTACCAAGCGAAACGTTGGATTCACTTCAAATTCATTCGCTGAGATTTTACAGACATATATTATTCCTATTTAATGTCTTTATCTTATCTAGTTTTTGTTTTTTTTTCTCCTTATTTTATATAAAATAGATTGTCTACTATATTTGCAAGTTAAAAGTACAAATGAAATGTTCCATTTTTAGGTATTGAACTTTCATTATATGATTACTAGGAAAGATTTAAGTTACTCAGCTTATTGATAATCTTAACTGAGATTTGATCAATCTTGCTAAATGTACATCCTATGTAGATTAATATCTACTTAATCAATCAATAATATGTATTTACAATATATAAAGTACTCTTAATTAACATTAATTATCTTCATTCTAAATAGAATAAAGTACATCCTCAAAATCATGTGGTGTGAGCTACTTATATTCAAACAAATAGTATATAACTATGCTTGGGCATTGAATGTATTTCATTAGAAGATCGATAAGCAAAGAACGGAAACGAAACGCAATTGGTATTAAAATGCATGAACAATAATAAACAGAAACGATGGACTGATATTTGCAGAGGAAACTGTCAAGATTGAGACAATTGATCGATAGTTTACAAATTACCTATTTACTGTATGGTTGTCAGATTTCAGTGAGATAGTTTGTAATGTTGTGCTAAAATACATTCAATTATTCTCACTCGTGTTTGCATTCACTACAATAGTAATTCATTTATCCAAATGAAACTATAAGAAAGTACTTGAAACCTTTTTTAAAGTAAATTTAGAAGGAAATATCTTATTGACAGCTGAAGAAATACTGTTTCAAACAGTAATTAATCTTTATATATAGTTGGAGTCCTAAGTCAATTGAAGCTAGACCGCCATGGAAAACCTGGAAGAACTGAACGGCCGTTTCGTCCTTATGTGGGGCTCCTCAGCAGTGCGCCATTAATATGTATTAGTCTGATGAAATATATATATATATATATATATATATATATATATGGTTTTATACTTTACAATTGGATCTCTTCACATGTTTATCAGCATTATAAATTGTTATTCATTCAATTTGTTATATGTTATGCTTCAGGATTATTGATTCAATTTTTAACTCAAGAGAAAAGTGTCCATAAAATCAGTTCATTCGGTTTTTTTCCGTCTGGTAAATAAGCTACTGAATTAGCTAAGAAGTTTTCTAGTTATAATTAAACAACCGTTTAAATCTTCTTCATATTCAATGATTAATTATCCGATGAATGTCAATCATGAACTAAAACTAACTTCATACTGTTAGTTAAATAATGTTAAATAATGTTATAAATGAAATGAATTTACCTCTGTATAGTTGAACAATCATTTTATCTTTCTTTGTACTACCATATGTCTAGAATGTAATAAAAATGAATAAAACAAGCTGTTTATATTGAATTATTATTCCTTTGTCTTTTTTTTCAGAAATGCGTTATTATTATCAATACATTAACCAAGTACAAATCTGTGTACTTGGCTTATGAACATACTCTTAATGTGAGGTCCAGTAATACTACCCAGTCGTCCAAAAAGTGGAATAGAAGGCGTTGAATTGTAATCTGCATTTCATTAACGGTATATAAAATGCCTAAAACATTGAACCATCTCTCTACTTCAGATACGTCTAGAATTGATATATTTTTTATTGGACAAAAAGAAACTCAATTAGAAAGAAATTACCTTACATTAGTTACCATGCTATTTTTACATTTATATTCTAATTATATATACAAACGAATGAAGAGTGTATCATAAAACGAAAACTATAATCGTTCGATTCGATATGAAAGCTTTTTCTATGATTTCAATATTAATCTGTCATTGTTTGTATGAATGAAGGAATTAAACATTAAACTGAAAGTTATTGTACGACTAGTCACAAGACATGATGGAGAAGATTTACAGCACAATTGGATGAATTTTGATGGAATTTTGTTCTTTGAGTTGGATGGTTTTGTCGATCGAACCTTCCAGCAGTTAAATAACTTGTCTGTAGGGTGATACATTATAGGCAACTCAATATTGTGCTCTTAGCGAGCTTGCATTACTCGGCGGTCGAGGTAAAGGTTTAACCCGAATGCGCTTACACCCATTAGAATCACATTTTGAATATGTTTACGCTTAAGATGTATGTTATTGTAAAAACAAATATTGAAAAAAGTAGATTTATTCTTACTTGTGAAAATAATGTATCACATGCAGAGAGCAATCCTAGAATAACAAACATACCACAAACACTAAACACTGACATAGCTAAACCAATTGTAGCTAATTGAATTTTGCCTAAATGACCACAGAATGCCATACTGACAGGTGAAATCATATATGTTAACATTGATGAAATAGTCTAAAATACAAAACAAAATATATCTATATAAATTGGGTATAAATGATTGTTATATCTTAGAAAAATCAACTTAGTTAAAACAATCAATAGATTTCGCTCCCGGTATATTGACACAAATTGGAATTAACTCTACACCTTGTACTATTCACTAACTATTTGGATCTCAAGTTATCTTGATAATTTGAAAAATTCACATATTGTGATTTAGAACAACATATATAAGCGAACAATATTGTTTTCCATTAGATCCTCATCAAGCTTTTACTCTAATATACAGTGCCCCCAAATGCTCTGGTACGGCCGAGAGTGGTGAGAGTCCGCACTCCCTCTCCAAATGCTCTCACATGGCCACGCGCATATAGCCTCTGACAGGGAAGTCTTACTCACTGCCCTCTCTCGGCATTACTGTTGTTTACGAAATTGAGAGGACGAAAAGCAAATGTCCGGTGCTTTAACCAGGTTGGTGGACACTATGAGTCCACCTAGGGGAAAACCCTCATTCCAAACCAATGGTGCACATGGGCTGACTCCATTATTCTGATGGAACAAATGGCGTATGAATCAATGGTTGGTCACCGGCTACCATGGGACTGCATCTGTTCACGATGTTCCACTACCTCATGGACCAGACCTACAGGTCAAAGGCTCGGGGTGTTATTCCCTACGAAAACCACCTGTTTCGGTTTGAGCACCTGGACAGTATCACAGCCCTCAAGCAAATCGAATGAAATTTGTATAGCGCATATTTATCTGGTGCTTCCTTGTACCAATATTTATGTGTTTAAATAAATAAATAATTAATAAACTAATATACAGTAATATTTATATACATTTACGAAATTATTGAACCAATTAAGGCAGTTTGTGAGTCAATGATAACAGTGGAATAGATTACATAATCAAAATTAATAATAAGTAGAAAGTACAAATTGATAGTGTGATGACAGGTGTACTAGTTGTGATAAGAATAATAAAGGCTTGAATCAATGTTACACAAGGGAAAATAAGTCAATGATTAGAAGAATTAAGACACTGAAATGACATTCATAAAAGTTATAAGATTACGTAATAAGAAGTGTTGAGATAATTAAACCATGTAATGTATATTTGAGAACAAAGAAAATGGTATAATGGGGGGGGAGAAAAATAAACGAAGAAAGAGTATAGAAAATAAAACCATTTATTAAGGCCAAGGGAAAGATACTGTTGTTTCAAGTTTCCTATGAATATAAAGACTTAAATTGTTGGCTCGAATTCCTATACCTTCTGCTATGTGTAAGAAACGTAATCGAACGGCATAGGGAAAACTAGTCGGAATACGATAAATAACTTTAAATGACTTATTTCTGTCTACAACATGACCGCTATCGATCAAGTGTGATAGAGCCGAGCTGTGTATTGTCCTGACAGTACCTTTTTCTAACCACGAAAGGTGGTATTCACTAGCTCTTTGGCCCAGATGTCTGGTTATGGGCTAAATATAGCTTTCTCCATAGGAGCAGCCGAATTCTTAGATATACATGGAATTGGTATAAACAGGTATCTTATCCTTTAGTTTAGGAATCACCATAGATTGGGTCGAGTACGCTAGATAGAGGTCAACTACATCAAACGTTCTCTTCACTGCTCTAATCATTCTATCATGTAGTACATCATCAGTTACATCTCCGTTGAAATGCAGCTTCAGGAAAAGAGATTTCTTATTAGCTGTTGATATAGTTATTTTCTTGTTTGTTACACGCAAGTGTTTCTTGATAAAAAGATTTTGTTCTTACATAAATCATAATATCTGTATTGCTTAGTTTATTCAAATGTTAAACTAATCAACATCAATCACCGATAGACCACTGAGCCGGCATCCAACGGTATTAATGTCTAATTTTTTATAGTTCTTTAGATATCCCTTAATTTATTCTTTAACTTCAAAGGGCTCAAAATGAAGTAACACAAATTATTTCTTCAATAGATATCTACATCTTGACTAGATCATTTTCAAAGTATTTTCAATTCTATCATTGATTTTGAATAAGATCAAATATCTAATCTCATATTAATTATAAAATAGATATGAGGGACTTTTCGAGTACAGTATTCTAGTATTGATATTGTGACTAAAGTATCAATATGATTCACAAGTGTAGCATAAGTGAATATAATAAACCTGTGAATTTATCTACCCTAAAATGTTCCCTTAGTTTCACATCTGACGATCAAATCAACAGTAGATTTCATCAAACAATCCATTTCGATTAATATTTTATATGCAATTCATTTTCCAGCAATCGTTTAAAATATACTGGCAAATATTTTAAAATGACGAAATTATAGTTGGTCAGTTTAAATGTCTGATTTTTACTTATTTCGAAAAGTACTAAAAAAGTTTATATTTATACACTATAATACTGTTACACATAGAATAACCAAGATCTCGTTCACTTTAGGAATGTTATGATGAAAAATAAACCATGATATCTCTTTACTCAATTGCAGTTAATACCATTACCGTTGGATGCCTGTTTAGTGGTCTTAAGGTTAAGCGTTCGTGTGCGAGACCTAAAGCTTTGGGTTCGAATCCCCGGTACAGGATCGTGGTTGCACACTGTTGTGGAGTAACGAAACGGCAATCCAGTGCCCCCGCGTTCTCGTTGGTGATCTAACATTGATCCATTACTAATCTCAATCAAAAACTCAACATTCTCAACAATGCCATACTAACCATCTTTACTATATTGGTAGTACTGATATGATTATATAAGTCATTTGTAACTTGTTAACCCATAATTAATGACACTGAAACTTTATTTTGACTTCTTCAGTGAAATAGTAAAGAACTTCGACAGTTTAGTTAAAATAACACATTTTTTAAACAAATTTCATTTGAAAAGAAAAGAAACAGTGAAAACTACGTTATCTTCTTATTCACTTACAATAGGTACTGCTAAACGCATTAAATTTTTTAATTCATATAGAAATCCTAATGGATACATTTTTCTTAATAATCTTTGACGATATGTAAGAGAACGAAGTACTTCTGGATCATCTATATATAAAGAGAAGAAAAACAAGATTTTTTGTAATCAAAACTATGCTCTAAGTGTTATTTATCATTTTTAACTGCATACAATACTAAAACTATTGGAATTGAATAGAAATGATCAAATAATTTAGAACAGTTTGAAGGACAATCTCTTTTTTGATGAATTCATGTACATTCAGAAAGGGGGGTTCATGGGGATTGTGGTAATTTAATAGTTGAATTCATGAGTCGATTTGAGCTAGACCACCATGGAAAACCTGAAATTACTAGACGACTATTATGTCCTAGCATGGGATTCTACAAAAGTGTGCATCCACTCCACGAACCTCCATTTTAATGATAATCATGATGTACTCACTAATAACTAACTTGAATGTACTTTTCCTGAAGTCCTAGTGGAAAGCCGTGACCAGTGGAGTTCAACTAGGTCTGTTGTGAGGCAGTTACTCAGTGAAGACAATAGTGGACGATGGAGCAATTTCGTGGATTGGTTGAAGTCAGACATTAAAACCGTTGGATACCGGTCAGATCAGTGGTCTAGAGGTTAAGCATCTGCATGAGAGACTTTATATCCTGGGTTCGAGTCCCTTTGGTGAGGGATTGTATATTTTCACGATGGGGACTCCAATACCGGGACGATACGGTCGTCCGGAGCTTCTAAGTTTTCAATGATGATTTAGATTACAATTACTCATGAATCCAACCCTTTCGTATACAGTCAATAAATAATACTGGTTGTGGATTGTTATTCAACAAACATTCTTTTAAAAGGGATATTTTTTACCGACTGTGACTGCTATTAGTTTATCTGAGTTTAATGCTAAATAAGTAAATCACATTCATCAAACTAATTGCTAAACTGCTATTCATATTTGTACAAAGAGATAAGAAGAATTGAATAGAATCAATGTACAGTCAGGAGATGAAAAGTATATTAACCTGATGATTAACACAAAGTATCATCTGATTTTTTGAATATTTATGTCAATGAATCACATCTTGTCAATGATCTTGATTTACCTTTCAAATGAAAAACATTAGAGAGTAATACTTTTGTTTACCGGTTAACAGATTAGAAGATTTACAGCATAAGAAGTTAAATTTAATTTTTAAATCACAGATGATTTACATACTCTTGAAAATTATGTTATATTGGACAAGTTTTACCTTTTTTTGATGTTATATCCTGTGGAGATTTATGAATGGTAACTTTGAGAACTGTTTATGGACCGAATTGATATGTATATTTCCTATTGTATAATTGTTAATTAACTAAACTATTCATATTCGTGTCCTTCTTATTATAAGCTTTATTTTGACTTATAGACTATTATTATACGATTTAGCGTTCTTCAGTTATCCATAGTCCATTAATTACTGCTTCCCTTATTCACAGCCACATCTGTCCAAATCTTGTACAAATGCTGTTTTCTATTTTATTGGTACGGTGTGGTCAGTTTGTTTGGTATATAAACCCAGTATGTTTAAAAATAATGATTCATATTTCCAAGGCTGTTATTGGTGTTTTGGACTTAACTGACTGGGCTAGGCAGAAAGCAGGATTGATAAGTACTCAATACTGCTGATACGGTTTTTTGTGTATCATTGCTCTGATCGATAATTCACTCTCCTCTGATTGGCAGGGATCACCACCTTATATATTAAACAGGGCACGCACTCAGGCAATCGATATAACATTTAATTTTACTGAAAAATAATTTTCATACTAAAACTGAACTCATAGCTCTTAGTATGTTTCTCTGAATAACAAAACACAAGACTAATTCGATGAAGAATAAAAAAAACTGATAAGTG